TCACGGAAGCTCCGCTTAAGTCATGCACGACGTATCTTTTTGGAGTTATGAAATTGTTTTGTTTTGAATTTCATGAATCACCCCCGATAACGAGTTGCCTTCACTGGAAGCAAATCTGATAAAATTATAAGGCGGAATATGCTAGGATATTTAATTTCGTGATCCATAAAAACCAGTTTGAGTCCCAACTGAGTCTTTCTGAAAAGGTCCCATCATAATGCCAAAATTTATTTTGATATTCGCCGTAATGTGGTAAAAAGACCAAAAAATCAAATAAATGCTAAAAGCTGCGTATTTGACCGCTTTGTAAAGAATGATAAATCTCTCATAAAGTTTCTCGAGTTTGTGTTGCTTTTTGGTAAATGTTTTGGTCTCGCCATAAACCGTGGTAGGTCAGAAACATTGTTGCTTTATTCCTGCCTCGATCTTAAACGAATTCTCCTTTTATAAAGAAGATAAGATTAAGAAATCCGCGCGTTAATTTCACCAACGATCATCAACTCAAAAGCAAAATTAATCGCGCCGAGACATCTCAAGCGGCGAGGGGCGACTGATCATTCACCCCCTGGGGATCAGGTACCGGTATATCAAAGGGTAGGGATTTCACTTGTCAAAGTATATGAAAGTGTAGGGAGCTAGGTATTTGGATTGGTAAAAAGTCATAAAATGGGCTAACAGATGCATTGTATGGATGTGAAAAAGTCAAGCAAACGTTCTGTCTGTCAAGCAAACGTTCTTATATTGGTATATAAAAGGGTATAAGGAGTTGGACTTCAGTTCGGAGTCTACCTGTATGAGACTTTTTTTTTTACCCTCCCCCCCCCCCCCCTTTTTTTTTTTTCCCCCCCCCCCCCCCCCCCCGGGGGGATTCGCGTGCTAAACCTAAACGAGCTTGGGCTTAGTATATTCGCTAAGAACGTAATATAACAATACCACTTTATAAGCCGACAAGATCTTGGGTGAATAATCACGAAACTTAACTGATAGCACGCAACTGACGTTATATAAAGGATGATTATGCAATGATCTTAGACCGAAACAACACGCACGGCAATGTTTGATCACTGTTACATGTTACTCAGTTTTTAGGAAAACAAATCAGTACAAATTTGGAGCAAAGTTATTAAGAAAATAAAATCCATATATTTATTACTTATAGGGATTTTCCTTTTCTGCTTGATTCGTGCTTTCAAACTTCATATAAAAAGCAGGTTGATAAGAAGCTACATACTGACTGAAGGATACTCGTGTGTATCACGGTAAACTTATCGTTATATGGACAGTCTTAAATCAAGTAGGCCACGGAGGAGGACATTTTTTTTAATTACCCTGTGAAACAGAACATTTATTGAGGGGACTGACAGCTAAAAATGACAACAGTCTGACAATTCTAGAAACATGTCACTACTGTTTTCCGAAGAACACGAAATATTATCGAACCCAAAAAGAGAAATACGATCCATGTCGTTCAATACATAAAATAATATACATATCACAACTTATCACACATTTTCATTCTGTCACCCCAACTCATCCTTCAAACCTGCTCAGAGTCGGGAAAGTAGCGAGTCAAGATGGAGAATTTTAACACAAAATTTCCAGGAACGCACGATAAAGAAAAAAAGGAAAGAAAGAAAGAAAGAAAGAAAGAAAAAGAGATCAAATTATTGTTTGGGCGTGTTTCTTCATTTTTGATCAATTTAGGTCCAAACGGTTTATCTTCATCTACATCTACATATATTAGGTCGGCAAAAATCGCTAAGACATCACACCGACCGTTATCCTCTCTTAATTTCAAAACGTAGATATTCAGGAATTCACCCATGACATCTCCTTTGTTTAGTTTTTTTTAAATTTATATAGTGATTTTCGAGTAATCTAAGATTATTTAAAGCAAAAAAAGCATTTTTAGCACTAATCCGTGCATGGCTTAAAATTACCCCTCTACCTCGTACAAGCCCTAATTTTCGAAGCGGACAATACAAAGCCCCCTTAATCCCTGTTAATATGAATTTTCACTGCAGTAACCTGAGAAGCCATTTTAATAGGCAAGCTCAGTTAAAGTCAGATCCGTCTCAGGATACTACGCAGTTAAACAGTACCACACGAAAATATTGCTCAACTAAATGTTATTTTAAGGTCATACTTTGAAGGGACGTAAAGATCAATTGTTTTCATTTATATTCAAACGTACATATCTGACTACACATTATCGTCAATGGAGATAGTTGTTTGCCATTTAAAAAAAGCTGATGGAACACGATTTTTTGGTCGTTCCAGCAGAAAATTTCCGGGAGCCACGGAACATCTGAAAAGGTAGTCCTGTTTTTCCGTACGGAATGTTCCAAACGGAAATTCGTGTTCCATTTCTTCAATAAAGCTATCTTTAGCTATCTTTGATACTTGTTTCAGGCTTTCGCGGCGGTTTTTCAGTAAATGGAACTGTAAATGTACAAATGGTAAACGCGATTCCAGGACGAAAGTTACGAGTCTTAAATTTTGTTTACCATTTACGCAAACCGTTCACCGACCGGTTTGCCCAGGTAAATCGTAAATTGAACCGATGCCATAATACAGAGCTCGTCACTAGCAGGGAGTTTGTTTCTACTGCTCAGCTGCATTTTGGGAGATAGAAATTTACTATAAAAGTCGAGGAACAAAGGAAAAAGATACATCACTCACGAGCAAATGTCAAAGACTTAAGTTTTAACCGACTGCAAAACTTCGGAATACTTAATAATCTAGATATTACATATCTCTTATGTGATCTCAGGGACACTGTTTCGCGAATTTCAGCGAGAATAATCTGACTTTTTCAAAAACAGGTTATTAAATTGTGCAAAGTAAGCAATGCTTGGTGTCAACTGCATTGTTATCTTTCTGTAAATTGCTAAATAATGATAACAAAAGAAAGACTGTAATTAGAACTTTATTAGTAGGGCTTTTAAAAATCCCCCGCTGATGTCAACTGTCCAAAATTTTGTTTTGAATTATCTTCAATGTTTCAAAACTTGCAAATTTTTTTCCATTTCCGATGCTGTCGACTTCTTATGATTGAGTACAAAAAGTAAATATCCTTGGCACCGTAAAGCGAACAAATTTAGCTCACACACTGCTATCTGAAGAAAATTCAAGGAAGATGTTATCAAAGAGATGAAGTTAATTTTAAATATTAATTAGCACACAAAATTTTCGATTATTTTCAGATTACCCTCAATAAAGAGTAGCTTGATCGGTCATATCACAGAGGAAGCGAATAAAGAAAAATAAAAGAAAAGAAAAAGAGTTTTTTGTACGTAAAAACGACTAACTAAAAGATTTGTTGAAAACGAGATCATTTCACTGTTAGCCTTACGCTTGAAAGCTTGACTTAAGTTTTGCTTTTTTTTATTTAATAATACTAATCTTACTTCCTGGCGAGTTTCTATTTCGTACAGAGAGATTTCTTTCAAAGATTTTAACTATCATCTTTGTTTCTTCTGTTGTAATTAGGTAAAAGCTGTAGGTCTCTCACAGCCTCCTCTTTTCGTTGTTAGACTTCGTTCTAGCAACCTGAGTTACCGTAAAATTTGCAATCATACTCATAAACTGTTTCATTTTGAGAAAAGACGGTACAAAAACGTGAAAGAACTGTCCTTTAAAACAAGGAGTTCGGTCAGTTTGGTCTGTGCATAGATCACGTGTACTTTCTTCGTTGTTAGCCTTCGTTCTAGCCGTAAAGAATGGCTTTATTCTATAAGAACAGAGATTACCTTAATACACAACTGATCAAGTCTAGTAAGGGCTTAATCATGGAGCTCGGTCAATTTGATCTAATACATGGGATTCTGGCGCTAATGGCACTCATATTTCCATTCTTTTTACGGTGACAAGACAAAAAATTAATTGAAAAAAAGAGAAAATGGTGTTTCAATACTCCTCCGTTAACGCAGTTACATAGCATACAGTTTCTCTCTAAACTATCTCCTTTATAAAGTCACTGAAGGCAAGACTCTTGCACATTACATGACTAAAGAATCAGGGCACAACAGTTAAAAGCTTAATGAATTAAACAATTAAAACGACTCAAAGAAGTTGAATAAATGGAAATAAATCAAGGCTAAAATACTAAAGAGCGTCTTCAGCAGCGTGGCGCCATTAATGTGCAAAAGAATTTACCTACTTCCTCGCGTGTTTACGGAAATTAACTGCGTAATATCTGCTTATCTTATCAATAAGCTCCACGCATCGGTTTTGTTTCATCGATAGGGGTGTATCCGCAGCATGCTATATAATAAAGACTCTTAATTCAGTTCCACACTTGACCAAGTTGCTTGACGAATACAGTTCTACCACAGGGTAAGTCTAGTCTCAATAACTTTACATCCCTAATTTCAGCCTTTTTAAATTAAATACCATGGAGGAGGTATTTTTAGTTTTTACTTTTCGAACAAATGAACAAATTGTTTGTAACTCTTTGTGTCTGAAATTTGTTTTTCCGTAGCTAAATTATCTTTGAATATAACGAGGAAGTTAGAAAAACGATTAATCCGACGCCACGCTTTTGGTTTTGACTGTTCTTCTTCTTGAAAAGACAGAAACGTTTTCATAACCTATTACAGTTGCCTTTAACGTTTTCGGTATGTTTCGTGTTTCATTAGCTCGATAAACCTTTTTTGCACCCTTCTTGGTTGCAAACACAATATACCTGACGGTCTGGGCCCTCGATCTGTTTATCATGACTTATACGTTTCTACGTAATCATCCATAAATTTTACATGCAAAGCCGGAAAATATCTCACCCATAATTTCTCCTAAATCTCTTTATTGAGAATATGACCTAAACGAAAAACAGTTTCTGGTATTAATTGATAACCAGTCCGATACGGCCGAAAAACTGACTGGGTTATTAGTTTGCCCATAAATTAAATAGTAAAAGCTCAATACTCGCCATTACTAAAAATGCTTTACCTTCAAAATTCCTCGTTTTTCAGATTTGACCTCACAGACAGTCCCTCAACATGAACAAAGCACTTCTGACAGTTCTAGTGGTGGCAATAGTAGCTGGTGTATTTGTAGAGCAAAGCAGCGCTCTGCTACGGGCCGGAAGGGACCGGATCGAGAAGTTTCAACGTGAGCTGAACTCATACAAACAGCAGGAGGCGGAAATGAACCCACCTATGGAAGTTTACTACCGGAGAAGTAAGAACGCTTTTAAAAGTTAGATACAGTAAAAACCCGCGACTAAGAACCGGTAAGGTTAAAATTGGCCAGTTAGGCCCCCTCCATACAATAACCAGTTTAGCCTAAGATTTGAAACAGGTTCTTATTTTTCTAAAATCTATATAAAAAAATTCTGTATATTTGGGCAAATAAGATAAGTCCTGACATTCAGGCCTCTTTTGAGACATAGTTGTCTTATCATTCCCACTGTAATTGTAATGGTATACAGGTTTTACCTAAGGAATGAGCTGAATACCACTAAATACTCTTAGCTGCAATGTATTTTTTCTTCACAAAATAAGAACCTATTTTAGAACCTAAATAGCCTCAATTTGTGCTAATTACCATGTATGTCATGTGTGTAGGCTAACTTGGAAAAATGCAGGTTCTTAGTCGCGGGTTTTTACTGTATTAGACTTTGATCCTTTCCGCGCACCTTGTTATCACGGACAGTTTGCTTTGTCCTTAGCGACAGCCCTTTCTTACATTTTCTCTAAATTCAACCCGCTTAACCGCTTAAACAACACCGCGTTAATAAGGACACTTTCTATGGACCCCTTAGTGTCAGTTGTAACGGGGTTTGACTGTAAAAGATCTTTTTTTGTTGTTACGGAGCGCTACGTAGAACATGATAGAACATAAAAGAACAATACGTAGAACATGATAGGAGAAAAGTCAAGGGGTCACTTTCTGGTCTCTGGGTTATCATCTCATTCAAACCCTTGACTGAATTTTTTTCCTAGCCCAGTTGTATAAATATTGAACTAGTTCTGATATTTAAAATATCGAGGATAGCTTTTTAACGAAGTGGGACTACACTCTCACCCAACGAGGATAAAGAATTCTAAAAGAAACTTTAACTCTTTGATAAATCTGCATTCTTCCCAGGAGAATTTAGGGGAGAGTAGCAGTGCTGCAGAGTGGTTCTTGGGAAGCGCCAGGCTTAGACGAAGACCTATCTAAGAGACCGAGATACCAGTAGAGTCCCGATTTTTCGAATCTCCCGACAAAAAACAATTAAAGTAGTTCCAATTTTCCGGAGGTCCGAGAAACCAATTTTTCACTCTTACTACTCTTTATGAACTCGCTCCACAGAAACCGGGTTAAGTCTCGTTAAAGCTTGGGGGAATTTACCGTATATCAGTTTGTCAAAAAAGAAGCACTTTTTTTTCGCTTTCTTTTCAGACAAGATCGAAAGATCCGAAGAGTAAAGAATTTCAAAGAAGATCGGGAGACAATGTTACACATATTGAAAAATCATTCGTAGGTGTGGTCAACTCAAAAGTATGGTACAACTGTCACTTAGTGGAGCTAAACTCTGATACACTTGTAATATAGAGAAAAATGCAGAATAAAATATACTGAGTCGCCATCATATGTATTATGCTTGTTTCAATGCCTCCGGTTCTCCAGTTTTCAAGGGTTCCCAATAGGGCTCATTAACCTTGTCCTTCTGAACCAAATTTTCGCTCAATCAGGTAATTCCGAGGGTAATTGGCTGTTTTTATACAAAGGATGCATTATCCGTCTGGACGAACTTGGACAAACATTTTGTAGTTCGTCTGGGTTATGCGTCTCAAGTATAAAGACGGGCACGAGACGCATTATGCGTCCAGACAAACTACCTTTCGTAGTGCGTAGTTCAAGACGTATTACGAGGGAAAATTCGTCCAGGCGGCCGAGCGGGGTACATTGCTTACTGTATCCCAATCGGGATACATTTGATTTTAGTCAAGGCCACGTGACCAAGAATCAACCAGTGGCACTCCCTGTTTAGTTGAGTGAAAGTCTAGGAATATAGCAATTAGCTATTGAATTCTGCTTTTTAAAAAGTCACAGAAATAGTACAAATCGGAGATTTTTTTCCCTCTCACTTATTTTGTTGAACCTTTTCTCCAGCACTATGCAGGTATAGGTTGTCTTATATGATATAAAACTAAATGCCTTGGTAGAGACATAATGTTTCACTTATTGAAGCTAGTTTTCTTGCTGTTATCGCAGATGAAGTCGGTCCAAACTGCTCCTTCCGCAGATGAAAATCTTTAAGGTTTGTTCAGTTTATGGCGGAATGCGATATTACAGTGGGCTTGAAAGAGGATTTTAATGCCACAACTCTTCAATTATACCTTGGTTCATGACTTCACTGTTAGGCAAATCAACAATTTCAAAGCAAAGACGAATGCTCGCAAGGAATTGCAGCTACAAAAAGTGTCTTTTTTTAGCTCTCTTTAATCTCAGCAAGATGTGTACCGATACTTGTCAAATAACTCAGTGCCATTAATTAAATCACTCTCCGGAACTCAATTCACCCATTTATGCAGTTGTGGGGAAAAGATGACAGGTAAACAGATTATCTTCTTTGTGGTCACCGTGAGTTTGCTCTATTGTTAATGTAAGCTATAAATCATTTCAGACGTCGCGATTTCCTCCTCATCTAAAGACATAATAAATTAAAGTGATTAGCAACCAGAGAAAGCTTGCCGAGAGTAATTTTTTGCGATAAGGCTTTCTCAGCAAAACCGCCTAAATACTAAATGAACATTACACAGTATTTCAGGCAATCAGGGTGTACTTACTTCGGAGACTGATGATCAATTTTACCGACTAATGTTATTCAAATACGCGACCAGATCACAGCCCTTAGCGCAGTTTTATTAAACTTCTTAAGAGCTACGTCTTTTAATTTGAAACCGTCAGCGACTTTTCTAACTTATACATGAGAGCTAAGAAATATCAATTTTTTCACGATTCTCTTCTTTTGTTCTTAATTTTACTGGATAAAGTTTTGATTTAGGAAGCTGAAAAGTTACTGACTTGATGTGATGATTCAGATTTTTTTCAAATTCACGAAAGTTGAATTTAGAAACTCTGAACTCTTTCTTTACACTTTAACGAAAAGAAAAATAATCGCCTGAAATTTTTACATTGGCTGAAATTAACAGCTGTTCTTGACGCATTAATGTTAAATGACTGTAAAATATAAATCTTATCGTTATCAATGTGTTATATCATTTGCACGAATCTTGCCAGTTAATTTCCTGAGCCAATGAACATGTAATTTACTATTAATACTTGCCTTATACAATGAATTATGATTTCTCTCCTTCAATGCCTCAACAATTAGAAAGAGTTAGTTAACGAATTAGCGGTTTTACTTACAGAAAACTCAGTTGTATTATTAATATTATTACTGACAATTACTATTGTTATTATTATTACTATTAAATTTTTTATGAGACATTCTTTTTAAATTTGTAACTATAACTCCAATCTTGATGATAGTCATAAGTAAACAGTTGGCTCTCTCCGTTTTATTTTATTTCTTTCAGAAAAAGAAGATAAATGTTAAAAACCTTTATAAATGTTGTTCCTTGAAACTATAGCAGCGACTTTTTTTGTTGCTGTTCCACAGGTGGATTGTTTTTCGTTTAATTACTGTTCAAAATTATATATGATAATGAATGCTCGACAAGAGGAATAGAGAGCGAATCATAATAATAATAATAATAATAATAATAATAATAATAATAATAATAATAATAATAATAATAATTATTATTATTATTATTATTATTATTATAATTATTATTATAGTAGTAAACCATATCAGTTTACGCCGCTATCTATCTGCCTCAAATCCCCTCTTTTTAAATCTCAGCAAGACTTACAACAAGTCATTTTCTTCTTCTGAAGAAGACCTGACCCCGGTTGTTCAAAAGGTGGATAGCGCTATCCACTGGATAAATCACCATCCGCTGGATGACGCAATTGGTTTTCGTAATACGTATCCACTGAATGGCGATTTATCCGATGGATAGCCCTATCCAACTTTTGAACAACCGGGGCCTGGCGAAGTTAAAGACAGAACAAATGGAAGTTCTGTTTTGGCTGACCATCAAGCGAGGTCAAATCTAAGACACGTTTCCTTTATCCCTACCTTTTTACGAAAACATTTGTTTTTCTTTGACGGGTTGTGTAGTCTACAATGTACTATCGAGCAAAACTACTTTCAGACAATTTAAATGTTAAAATATTTAAATTGCTAACGAATTCCTAATCAATGATTATAGTCGCACTCTTTACGGGCATTAATTTTCCAAACAAACAGCTTTATTTCTAAACTTTCTACAACCGAAATCGACCAGCAGAAACGAAGCGAAGAGGTGCTGAAAAATAGCAATTGACAAATACAAAGTCTAGTATATAAAATAACTTACAAATCTGAATGAAAGCAAACAGGCAAACTGAAAATGCCAATAAAACAAGAAAGACACTCACAAGACGATAGCGAACATCAAGACAAAACACACGGACGAGCCAAGAAAAGACTTACACACAAAAGTTAAAAAATGAATAGCAAAAGATTCTTGGCGTTTACAATGGTAATAGCAGATACAAAAATTACATACAGAAAAAAATCTTTAAAGAAAAATGATTCGATTTACAAACTTTGTAAAAAGTAGCATCTAAACTGCTTTTTCTGTTCATTTTTTTCTAATTCATTCTAAATTTTATTTGCTAAGAAATTTCACCTGTGAAAAATGCTTGCTGACATGCAGAATTCTATCCTTCATCGGATAAAAATTGCCACATATTCACATTTCCCTTTTTCCGTTTATACAATCTACATGCTTCTCTCGGTTTTAAATAATAAGCTTCGTTAAACCTTTAATGGAGTATGTGTCGAGATTCACTTTTATTTGATAAAGAAATAAACCTCACAAGCGTTAACTGTAAGCAGATAACCCTTTCTTGCTACTCGTATGAAGAGCAAAACGATCAGATATATTATCTTTTTGGATTTAAAAAAAGAAAATAAAAAGGCGTTGATTCTAAAAACGGAAAGAGGAAATCTGAGGATATGGCAATTTTTTCCGTTTTCCACTTCAGTATTTTGTGAATTCACATCCAATAGTGATGAGACTGTAACTTTCTTACATAATCAACCAATTTTCCATTGTGAAATTTTCTTCAATAAATTTGAAAATGCGAAAGCAAAATCCAGCTAAAGTGACTGAAATTCTACTCTTTCTAGAGCTCGAGCATATCCTTCGAAGCTTTTGTTTCTCTTATCTTATTTTTGTATCCGTTTTAACCACTAATTCCTAATTCGCTGGATATAAATTAAGCTGCGTTTTGCTCGTTAGCACATTGCAGAATACAAAGTCAACCGTTCAAAGAAGAAAGATCTCTTAAAAGGTGAGAAAAGAATAATTTTTAAACTTCACTGTTTGGTGAAATATAACTTTTCCTTTTAATTTTGAGGTACCTAAGTCGTCCCCATAATTAAAGGATTATCAAGGTGTCCCCTTAATAGAGTTTTCTAGGCTTGTAATACGAACAATTATCACACAAAAGATCGAGAATGTTGGTCTGCGACCTTCAAATGCAAATATCAATTCATGTACACAGGCAACAATGTTAATATAATGTGGTGAAGTGCGCTATTACGTACAATATACATAATGCAATAGCAGATATAAGTTGACAGTCCATGTAGGGTTCTGGATCCCAGACAGTGGTGAGTGAATAAAGAGGGTGCCAAGAACCAATACCCCACTAAATGCAACAAAATATATAGATCATCCAGACTTAGTACTTTGGAAAAATAATAGGTGCCTCGGGTGAATCTCAAATAAATGCCATGTAATACCTTAGAAATCAAATGGGGCAAGGTTGGCGCAGTGGTGAGAACCATACTCGCCTCCCACCAATGTGACCCGGGTTAAAATCCCCGCGTCGACGCCATAGTGGGTTGAGTTTGCTGTTGGTTCTCTGTTCCGAGAGGTTTTTCCAGGTATTCTGGTTTTCGGATCCTCTCCTCAAAAACTAACACTTCCAAATTTCAATTCGATCTGGAACGCACGGATGCGTTCAAAGGAGTTTCCTAAGAACTCGTACGTGCTTCGTGGGTAAATGAATTACAAAACTAGGAAAATAAAAAAAGGGCGCTAGAGAAGTTAGAGTGGGGACCTGCACTCTTGAGAAATCCTTGATTGATTTGTTGAAATATTTGAAAGATTAAGATGGCTAACGATTTACCATCTTCTTTGTCTGCTGAAATTATGTATGATGTTCAAAACTGTAAATGGAAGTAGCAAATGTCCGAACCTCAAACGCGTTTGTTAAGACGTGTTATAGTTATTGTTTGAATTTTACCCTCTTAAAGACAATGAGTTTGAAATGAAATTTGAAAATTTGATACAGCATATTCACCTAAAGTACGAAGTTTAACCCCACACTGTGGCTTCTAAACCCAGGCCTCATACATCTTCATAAGGGGTTTTAGGAAGGTTTATAAACGGAGGAACTTATATATATTAGCGCTTAACCCAGGGTTAATTATTTAACCCGGGTTTGTTTTTCCGGCGTTTTTTCAAAAGCATTTTCTCGGATAATATTCTCTGTTATTTTTAAGAGCATCCAGTTATCAAATTGTTGATTCAAATTTCGCACTAACCCCGGGTTATCTAACCCAGCTTTTAACAACCCGTCCCTAGTCAAAATACTTTTTACATTTACTGTTATTTTTTTTTAAGCTTCACAACGTCATAATAAATCGAATTC